TGGTCCCCCACCGCAGTACTGACTAGGCGATACCTTGCTTAACTTCGCAGATCGGACGGGATGCGGTGCTTTCAAGGTTCTATGGCCGCAGATACCAGCCAATCTCCCAATGTCAAATATGAACTCTTGCTGCTGAGATTGATGCGGATCGAGCTCTATGCCTGTGCACATGCTTTCTGACAGACTCACGTGCACAGGCTGGCAAACACACGAGGTGGCTATTGCAATCATTGGCATTGGCAAGTGGCATGGCGAATGCTACGACGCTTTTCCAAAACAGTCCCGATCAGGGCAAGACTTCAACGCCCGATTCGCACCACCTTCTTCCGCTGTCTGCGGCCCAGGTTGAGCGGGTTCATCGGGTCCTTCTTCTTGCCCGCCGCCTCCTCCTTTTCAGCCTCGTCCTCGTCGTCCTCGTCGTCGTCGTCGTCACCCAGTCCCATACCGCCCAGCATGCCTCCGAGGCCTCCGAGCGCGTCGGCACCAGGCATGCCCGGCGGCATACCACCCATGGCTTCCGCCAGATTCATGTTGAGCAGACCGCCCTCCACCGCGGGCGAGTGCGCCGGCAGACGCGCCTCGAGCGTGGGCGGGAAGCGCATTTTGGCCAGCCGGGCGCGGATCGGGTTGGGGTTCGGGTCGCGCTTCGCCTGCAGCACCTGCTTGCGCTGCTCCTTGGTGAGTGTCGGCTTGGCACCGCCCGTCGCCGCAGCACCCTCCTTGCTGCCGCCCTTCTTGTTCTTGCTCTTGGACGACGAGCCCGCAGCGGGCTGCGATCCCGACGAGACCGCTTTGGCATTCTCGGCGAGCGCCGCCTTCTTGATCGTCGACGGCCGCACGCGCTTCTTGCGCGCCTCGAGCGCAGGCGGCTTACCGCCACAGTTGGGCTGCAGAATCTCGGCGATCGCATCAAACAGCTGCTTCTTGCTCGCAAAGCGGCTGTCGAGCGCACTGCCGTCGTCGTTGAACAGCTGCACCTTGACGCGGCCCGGATTCTCCCAGTCTTGCGGATGCGTCTTGTACGGCTCCTGCACGTACTTGAGCTGCAGCCGCGCAACGGCCTTGGCGATCCACAGCTGCGTCGGGAAGGGACTCGCCTTCTCGTACGACACGCGCCGACAGCCCTTGCGGTAGTGGCGCTTGGCATCAAAATAGATCGGGTACACGCTCACCCACTTCTTGTGCTCGCCGTCCTCCTTGCCCTTGGAGCCGCTCGCGCCGGACATGTCGGCGCCGACGGGAGCCCGAGTGGAGCCAAAGTCGCCCGAGCCGGGTGCTTGACCCATCTGCTCCATCATCTTTTGGAATGCGGCCATTTGGTCGGCCTGAGGCGCCGAAGCGCCGGCCCCCGCTTGTGCCTGGGCTACGGCGGGAGACGAGACGGTTGGAAGGTCGAACTGTGTTGCAAACGCAAATCGAATGGTCAGTCGCTTGAATGTGAGCTGCAAGAAAGGGAGGCCGACGCCAAGCTTACCTCGAAGTCATCGTCAAAGTCCTCGACGGCTGCTTTCGGCGGCATGGTGAGTTGTGTTCAGCAGTCGACGCCGAAGCTGAAGTGCAATCACGATGGTTGTTGGACGCCTGATGGTCCAAGACGCCAAAGCGTCTCCGCTCGACGCACTCTCGTCGGTGCAGCTGCGTCCAACCGCCGCTTCCACGTGACGCCGACACAATTTTCTCGCGCGAGTGGACTTTTGCAGCGGATCACTGAATGTGCTGCTCGGGTGCTGCGCAGAGTGGAGGCGGAGCTGCATTTCAGGGCTGAGAAGAATGGACCCTCGACTCCTACCAATACCTTCAACACTATCAGCAGCTTGACCCAACTCTCGACAAACCCTTCACCTACGACGCCCGCACGATTGAACACGAAGACGGACATCGCTCAGGACAGGCCTCGTGACGGCCAACTTCTCCACGTCAATGGCATGTCTCTGAGCTACATTCGCTCCTGCACGCTACATCGATCACTTATACCCAACGGCTGGCTCAGGACTGGACAGTCTTCAGGCCTACCTCGTCGCGTATCCACTCCGGCAACAAGGCTCGGGTCTGCGACGCAGCGGCTGGTCAAGTCAACCATGCGGCCCGATGCGCAGATCCAGCTGACCGAGCAGGAGGAGACGATCTGCCAGCTGCTCGACCACACCTGCACCTACATCCAGCGCGAGAAGCCCGAGATCGAAGGCGTGGATGCGACGCAGCGCAGCGGCGATGAATCCGATCCGTGCGAGGCGCGCATCGCCGGCGGATGGGTGCGCGACAAGCTGCTTGAGCGCGACTCGGACGACCTTGACATCTCGCTCTCCACGCTCACCGGCAACGCCTTTGCACTCTACCTCAAGCACTTCCTCTCCAGCCCTTCCTTCTCCACATCGCCCCTGGCGCAGTCGCCCTACTTCCGCGAAGATGGCCACGAGATGGGCAGGATCGGAAAGATCGCCGCCAACCCGGAACAGAGCAAGAATCTCGAGACCGCCACCGCGCGTGTCTTGGGCCTCTCGCTCGATTTTGTCAATCTGCGCAAGGAGACGTACGACCCGGGCTCGAGGATCCCGACCATGACGTTTGGCACGCCAAAGGAAGACGCAGAGAGACGCGATATCACCATCAACTCGCTCCTGTACAACGTGCACTCGCGGCAGGTCGAAGATCACACCGGTCTCGGACTGCAGGATCTTGCCAGCGGCCTCATCCGCACGCCTTTGCCGCCGCTCACTACGTTCCTCGACGACCCATTGCGCGTCCTGCGATGCGTGCGCTTCGCCAGCCGATTCGCGTACGAGCTGCATCCGGCGATCATCCGCTGCTTGACTGCGGCGGGCGATGCCGAGACGGGCGCAGTGCAGTTGGCAAGCGCAGATGACCCGAGAGTGTCGACGGGAAACAGCGCAGGCGTCGAGTCGGGTCGGGACCAGATCCGCGATGCGCTCGTCAGCAAGGTGTCGCGAGAGCGATTCGGCATCGAGGTCGACAAGATGCTCAAGGGGCCCAATCCGCTGCTGGCGCTTTTCCTGCTGCATCGGCTCGAGCTCTTCCCGCTCGTATTCCACCCGCAGCCGAGTGCAGGTAAGCTCTGGGTCGCTTCCGAGCCACCGCTGAGACGGGAGGGTGCACCATTGGCGGATGCTGTGGCGCTCAACGCTGCGCGACTGCTCGATGCGATTCTCAAGCAGAGCACGCTCGATGCGGCGCCGATCAACCAGGACGTGGCGATGCACAGTCTGACGCTCGCCGACGCAAGCGGCAACGCAGAGGACGTGCTTGGCAAGACGGATCTGTCGCGCGAGTTCTCTGCGGTGCCTGCTTCGCCTCTGGCCAAGGCGGTGCTTGAGGCGCTGCCGTCGGATCTGGTCGCGAGCTGGTCGTCCGCCGCGCTGTCGTCGGAAGAAAAGCGCCGGTTGTGGATCTCGGTGGCGCTGCTGCCGTTGCGGGAGCTGGTATACGAGGAGAAGAAGAACAAGAACGCGTGGGCAGGCGAGAGCGTCATCGCCACCGGGCTCAAGCTCGGCACCAAGACGCTCAAGGAACCGGTGACTGCTATGCACAAGTGTCTGGAGCTGCTGCCGCTCGGACGCAGGGCGCTTTCTCGCGACGCACCCGCAGCACAAGATACAGAGGCGCTCGATCGTGCACTGCATCTTTCGCCCGGATTAAGTGTGCGTTCGCGACTAGGCCTGCTGCTGCGCAATCCGAATGTGTCGAATTCGATGCTTCAGCTGCGTCCGCAACCTGCGTTGTTGCTGTCGTTCATCGGCGAGGCCATCGAGCTATGGCGCAACTCGGAAGAATCGTTCAACAGCCTCAACGCGAACCTCGGTGGGGGGCAGGATCGCATCGTCGAACTCGCGCGCGAGTACGCGCAGTTTTGGACGCTCGTCCAGCGGTGGAATCTGGTAGAGCGGGCGGACGAGAAGCCTCTGCTGGATGGAAACGCCGTGACGGCGTGTCTGGGCTGTCACCCACGCCTGATCTCGCACATCCAGACGTTCGTGCTCGCATGGCAGTACGACCAGCCCTTGAGTGGGCCCGAGCTCGAGGTCCAGTGCTCGGAATGGCTCAAGGCAGAGTGGGCGAAAGGCGGCATTGTGCCCGTTGATCAACGCCCACCACCGCCTCCGAGCAAGGCGGACAAGGCCAAGAAGAAACCAGCCGTCGAGACACCCGACCGCCGAAAACGCCAGAAGAGCGAGTAGCTGCATAGCAATAGCAGGAGAATCCAATCCAGTGTGTATGCATGTGATGTGGGAGAGTGCACGGGTATAATGCGTTGCTGTGCGAATCCGGGCGCTTACATGCCCCTCCAAATGGCGAGCGAGTCGTGGAAACCGTCGTCGCCGTCGTCGTCTTGGACTGCATCGAGTGCATCTTCGATGTCCCGGATCGTGCGTGTCCTGTTGTGCAGATTGAGCGAAGCCAGTGGCAACACCGACCTATCCTCAGAAATCGAATCGCGTCAGTTGAGCTTCACGCCACAGTATCACAAAGCGGTTGAGGGAGCACGCACCACTTTGGAAGCCATCGAACGTCAATATCTCTCCAGACGGCCGACTCGTCGTAGAGCTCGATGAACTCTTGGTCCATACTGCGACTTTTGGGCCACGAGAATCTCCTATACTCGTCGAAGATGGTGGTCAGACTCCACTGCTGCAGCTTCCTCAGGCATCCGATCAGACACCCCGTCCTATGTTTGCCCTTGTTGCAGTGGATCAAGATGGGATGATTCCTTCGGTCCAAGATGGTCGTAAGGGCGGCGGTGATCTTGTCCGTGGGGATCGATACGAAAGGTTCCTTGTTGCCTGGGATGCCGAACTGGAAAAAGGTAATGCCGTTCTGGTCGAGGAAGCTCGCGTTTGTCTCTGGGTACTCTTCGAGGATGAGCGTGAGCACGGAGCGCAGGCCGAGAGTGCGCAGGAAAGGGAAGTGCTTCTTCTTGGGGAAGCTGGAGCGGTAGACGTGCGAGTTGACCATGGCAAAGTTGTCCGGCGGCAGCAAGTCCTCCTGAAAGTCCAGAGGTGCTGCTGCACCCGCGTTGGCAGCTGAGATGCCCGCGCCTGGAAGCGTGGATAGAGACGAGGGAAGCGAGCGTTGAACCTGGTGCGACATTGTGCTGGCCGTAGTGGAAGCCGACATGGGCGCTGCAAGCGGTGAATGTGAAGGAATACCCCCGGACCGTGTGTCGTGAGAGTAGGAGTCGGTACTCAAGTTGGACATGATGGAGCCTGTTGACGATAGGGTCGAGGTAAGCGGAGTCACGAGGGTGGTGTTCCTAGACGAGAGCGAGACAGCCTCGGACAGGGATGCAGACGACCCGCTTCGAGGCAGAGAGTCCATGGCGGCTGTGTAGGAGGTCTTTGGCGAGGTGACGCGAGAGAGAGGCGCCGAGCCAGCGTTGAGGAATGCTGCCGTGGACGACGAAGAAGAGCTTGGCCTCGAGGAGCCTGCTAGGCTGTGAACCGATGCGGACGCGAGCGCGGCGGCGGTGGTGGCGCGTTTCTTGGACGAAGCAGCGTTGAGCGCGGACATCTTGCTGGACGATGCGTCGTCGGGCACGAGCGGGATGCCTGCCGACCTGAGCTGCGGATAGGCCGAGAGCTGCGAGAACCAAGGCAGCTCTTCCTCTTCCTCGGCAGCCTCAGCCTGAGCACCCGTCGCATCGGAGCTCGATGCCGTGGCCGAGTCGTGTTCCGAGCCGTTCTCCGCCGCGCTCGATTCCGACGTCTCTGCTAACGTGTTTGCCGTCTCGCGCAGATTGAGGCCGTTCTGAACTGCCGCGATCGCGCCCGCTCCCGCCTGCACGGCGATCGAATCAGGCTCGTCATAAAGCTGAGAGTGGCCCGGAAACGAGTTGGTAGTCTGCTCGAGGCTAGAGTCGAGCTCGATGTCTCCATTTCGAATGCGATGCTCGTTGAGGATGCGCTGCAGAAACGCATACGGCCTGGGTTGATCCTGACGAGGGATGGTCGGATTGCGACGGCAGTAAAAGTTGGGCGGCTCGGCCTCGTCTGCATCGCCGCCTTTGCTCTGCTTGAGCTTGTCCTTGTCCTTGCCCATGGTGAGGGACTCGGTGTGCTCGCAGTCGCCCTCTTGCAGACCTATGGACGTGGTGATCGTCGGCGATACCGAAGGTTGAGTGTGGAGCAGCGTCGGTCGAGCCAACGCAGGGCTCCAAGTTGGCTCGCTTCCTCCTCCGACTTCCGTGCATGTGGAGCTCTGACGGCGTTGTGATCCTGCAGGGTTCAAAAAAGGTGGCGGCGCTTTGGGAATTCCAAGCCGTGATTTTTTTGGTTGAATTTGTGCGGCTGCTTTTTTCGAGACAGGTCTACTATCGGCGTTTCCGAGGCTCGAGACCATTGCTTCCCACCACCATCGCTTGATCCGAGACCAGTTCAGTTCAAGATGGCGCAGGGATTCAAGCCTGCCAAGCCGAAGAAGGCGGCCGCCTCGCCCAAGTCCGGCTCCAAGGCCAAGTCTGGCCCCAAACGAGGACGTAAGTAGCTCCTTTCTTCGGAACCAGCCTCGGATGGCCTCAAGGTGGCCTCGAGCTCGGGTGTGCCGCATTGGCCAGAACAGCAAAAGACTGACCCGACTCTAATCCGCTCTTTGTGTGCTGTGCAGCTCGTGTCATCGCTCCCAAGAAGAAGGCGGCAGTGCAGGCGGCCAAGACCAAGCAGAAGCAGACCGCCTCCATCACTGCCCGCATCGAGCAGGAGATGGTCGGCCGTGCCTCCAAGGGTGGTCCGCTCACCATCATGAAGAAGGCTGCCGATGGCGACGCAGACGACAAGAAGAAGAACCAGAACAAGAAGTAGACCTCTTTGCAGCCATGCACCATGGTCCTTTCCGCGCCACCTCCTCCACCAGGATCACTATCATATGTTTGTACTTGTAGCCGCTTGCATCAACTATCCCTCCGCGTACTGCTTTGGAGTTTAGTCAAAGGTGTGTCAAGCTCTCGAAAGAGTGCTCAGGGTTGCGTGAGAGCTGTGGACGGCAAAGCAGTAGTGTTGGGTAGGTGGCATCATGGGCTCGAGGAGCAAACCCCGAGCATGTTAGACCGGAACTGACACCTTGGATCACGTGAGGCATCTCGACGCGCAACCAAAAATCAAGCGTGCACAAAACAGTCCAACACCCTGAGCTGAGCTGCGCAATTTGAACATGCTGCCAGACGGGTCGATGTTGGCAGAGGGAGGCGACGCGCAGAGAGAGAGAGAGAGAGGGAATCATGCTGCCGCCCCTGCCCTCTATCCGCACCAAACACGCGCGTCGCTGCGATGCCTTTTTTGGGCGGCAACAGCTCCACAGTGAAGCTGCGCAGTCACAGTCGCAACCAACACTCGCTCCGCCTCGACTTTTTCCCTTTCCCACTCGACCGGCAGCCACATCCGCCGGACCATACGCGCTCGAGGCTGCAGCACCTTCATCTCTTCACCATCCACCATTCAACATCCGTACCTACGATCCTTCTTACAACACTGCAACCTCCTTTCTCGCAACACTTGGCCCTCCGACCGCCTACTTGCGCCGAGTGCGGCTGAGTCTGCCGCCGTCGCGCTTCCTGCGCAAACCTAGTCGCCGCCGTCTCCTACGCCTTTGACGCCATCCTTTCATCATGCCGTCGCGACACTCGTCATCATCATCGCGCGCGCCGCTCGAGGACTCTCGCGCCGCCAACCGCTCCATCTCCACCTCCTTTGCAGGCACGAAACCCTCGCTCTCGTCAGCCAAGTCGTCGGCTTCCAGAAAGAATGCAGCTAGATCTACGTCGGCAAAGTCGCGCTCGGCTTCCGGCAAGATGCGCGGCCGATTCGACGACGACGACGACATCGAAGAGGAAGACGAGGACGAGGACCAAGCAGACGACGGCGACAGCTACGACGAGGAAGAGCCCGCCAACCACCGCCAGAGTTCCAAATCCAAGCCATCCGCCAGCCACGCAAAACCAACCTCGCGGGCCCCATCGCAACCGGCCAGTCGTCAGGCTTCCGGCTCGAACAACGCGAACCGCTCCATCCTCGCTCGCTCCAATCCTAACGCATCCATCGTCATGGCCGCAGGAAACACCTCGGTCGCTTTCCAGAACTCTCGCGTCGCTGCGCTCGCCAGATCCCATGCCGTCGTCGATGCATCCTCCATCATGCGTCCCCGTGGCCAGTCTGCCCATCCCTCCGCCGCGGCGGCTGCAGCCGCCGACCCCAACGGCTCCGCTCCTCCCGCCGCTTCCCTTCGCGTAGACACATCCAGCTTCGAAGAGTGGATGAAGATGGCCACCGACAACAAGATCAACTCCACCAACACGTGGTCCTTTGCCCTCATCGACTACTTCCACGACATGTCCCTCCTCCGCAACGAAAGCGGAGACGGAAGCATCAACTTCCAGAAGGCCTCCTGCACCCTCGATGGCTGTGTCAAGGTGTGGACCTCGCGTGTCGACTCGGTCGTCGTAGAAACAGGCAAGCTCCTCTCGGGTCTCCAGGATGACCTCGAACAGGCTTCGCGCAAAGACCGTCGCAAGGGCGATGACGATGGGGAAGATGACGACGCAGACGACGATGGCGACGACGATGGCGCTGGCACCTCGTCCCGCAAGAGGAAGAGGAACAAGGATGCCACGCTCGCAAAGACGTTCGGTCACATCCAAATCAAGAAGTTCGAGCTCGAGTTCACCGTCGATCCCCTCTTCAAGAAGACCTCCGCCGACTTTGACGAGGGCGGTGCCAGCGGCCTCCTCATGAACCATCTCGGTGTCGACGCCTCCATGGCCGTCATCTTTGATGCCAGTGACGTCGCAGGTGTTGGCAGCGACGACGACATGAACAGGATGCTCGCTGTCGCAGAGGACGACGATGAGCAAGCCGAAGCTGCCAAGCCCTCTGCAGCCGCCGACGACCAGGTCGAGCTGGTCGACCTGTCCAAGCTCAGCGCAAAGTGGCTCGAGTTCGGGGCAGCCGACGGATCGGAAGACATTGAATCCATGCTCTCGCGCCGCGTCATCTGCCCTACGCTGTGCAACTTCCGCTTCTCCAAGGATGACGACACACCCTTCGGCGTCGGTCTGGACGAGTTCAACCAGCAGACCTTCCACTCGGCCAGCCAGGTCAACCCGGCCTTCTTCAGCACGCGCGCACACTCCGAGGAGCTGGCCGGCGGCGGCTTCCAAGACGACGTCAACCCGCTCTTGGACGATGCAGGCGCAGACGTCGACTTCTTCGACGGCGGCATGGGCGCTCCCATGGACGACAACGACGACGACGGCAACGACTTTTTCGATGCGCTCGACTCGGCGCCCGCTTTCCACCACGGCGGTCCCGTCGTGCTCGACGGCACCACGGGCGACGTGCAGGGCTACGGCCCCTTTGACCCCTCAGCTGGACCCTCGTCGGACCTGGTCATGGCCATGGCCTTCAACCCCGACACCGGTCGACCCCTGGACGGCGCAGACGCCGAGAACGGCAGTGATCTGTTTGACTACTTTGACCGTCGTCTTCTGCGCAACTGGGCTGGTCCCGAGCACTGGAAATTGTCGCGCGTCACCGGGCCCCTAGGGCTCGGTGTGGTGGGCGCAGGTGCGGCCGATCCAGCCGCAGCAGCCGCACGCAAGGAAAGCAAGAAGAGCAAGGAACCCTTCGTCATCGACTTCCTCTCCGACGAAGGCGCCGTCAACGTCAAGGAGATCTTTGAGCCGGCGAAGCAGGCGGCAGCCATCACGCTGCCGCTCAACGCGCGCAACAAGATGGCGAACCTGGCAGCGTCATCTTCGGACGCGTACCTGCTGCCGGAGGACCGTCACTTCAGTTCGAAGCAGCTGTTGCGTCTGTTCCTCAAGCCTCGCGTGGCGATCAACATGCGTCGCAAGGGTGCGCAGGGTGCAGGCGACGGCTTTGGTGCCGATGCGCAGCTCTGGGGCGATGCGGACGGCGACGACATGGGCGGCGGCGCTGATGGAGGCATGCCGTTCGACACGCAGTTCTTCCACGACGCCGATGACGGTTTTGACGCCAACGGTGCCGATCTGGGCGGCCTGGACGACTCGCCGGCCCATGCGACCGTCGGCGGCGGCGAGGACGGCGATCTGACACAGTCGATGCAGCAGCTCAACCGCATCAAGCCCGAGTACGTCAACTATGCCAAAAAGGCGAAGCGCGTGGATGTCAAGAAGCTCAAGGAGAACATCTGGAAGGAGCTCGGCATCCTCCCGTCCACCGACGATCCTGCCGCCGTCGCTGCACGCGCCGCCGGGGAAGGCGACGAGACGATGGAATCGGTCGATGCACAGCCTGTCGGTGCGGAGAGCGTCAAGACGTTCGAATCGGTGCTGTCCGGTCTGCAAAAGGCGTATCCGCAAGACAAGATGGAGGAGATCTCGACGTCGTTCTGCTTCATCTGTCTGCTGCATCTTGCCAACGAGGAAGGGCTGGCCATCAGCACCGGCACCGAGGATCAGATCCAGGCACTGCGGTCCAAGCGCGGCCGCACGAGCGCTACGCCGACCAAGGAGGGCGGTCTCTTCGGCCGCTTGGCCGCTGGCAAGATCGTGCGTCCCAGCATGGAGGACGACGACCTCGGTGGTGAGGACGATCTGCCCGTCGAGGGCGAAGAGGGCTACGAGGAGGACGAGCTGCGCGTCGGCAAGCTCTCGGCGCTGCGGATTATCAAGGACCCCAAAGCCTACCGTTCTGCATGATCTCGCTCGGCTCATCAAACGACGAATCTCTTTGTACTTTAGGCTTGGTGAGACTGCGAGTGTGTTAGGTGTCTTTCTGCACGTCAATGTAATCTTGGGTATTGTACCATTATGCCTTGGGCCCTGTTGTTTGTTTAGAAAAGATTCAGAAGCTGAGGGGGTTAAGTTTGCCGTCCTGGTCTGTGGGAAGCCTTCCCTGTTCTCGCTGTAGCCACCAGTTTGTGTCCCAGCCGTCGAAGATGAGGGCGAGTTCACGCGCTGCGGATTCGGGCGAGTCGGAGCCATGGAAGCCGTTGCGCGTGTCGCCGAGACCGTAGCGCGAGCGCAGACACTGCGGGTCCTCGTACTTGGATCGGTAGGCTTTGGTGGGACCGAGCATGGCGCGCCAGCGCTTGATGGCGTTGGGACCAACAAGCGCCAGCGCCATGGCGGGACCACTGATCATTCCGATGATGAGACGGTCGTAGTAGAAGCGCCCGCGATGCTCGGCGTAAAAGTCATGTGCATCGCTCGACGTCCAGAAGATGCGCTTGCTGCGCGCCACCTAGTAAAAGAATAGCAAGAGGGTGAATCGGGCTGTCAGCATTCGGTGGAAGTGATGCGAAAGTAAGAGGCGAGAAGAACCTACATTTAGACCCGACTGCTTGATCTCCTTGAGGATGGCGGACACGTCCGGTTGGTACGAGCACACGGACGGCTTGATCAGCGCAAGCGTGAGCTCGAGTTCCTGCGACTTGTCTGTATTTGAAATGGCTCTGCTTGACAGATGCGCTGCTTTCGCTGTGGCACTGGCAGCCGGAGAAGAGTTGGAGGCCAGGGTGGACAGAGCAGACGCCGAGCCAGAGGGCTGGCATCGCGCAGCCAAACCACGCAGGCCGCCAAGCGAGCCCAATGCAGTCAATGACATCGTTTTCTGTGCGCGGTCTGTCTACCGCACATATGCGCTCGTCAGCGGCTTCCCCACGGTCGTTGGTGGACGATGGAGGTACAGGGCAAGGTTGGTGTCAGGTTGGGCGGTCTCGAGGTGGAGGCATGGCTAGGCGCCAGATGACAACGCATTTCATAATCAGCGCTTTTCAAACTCGGCTTTCGGAAACGCGTCTCGACGGCCACGTCCGGCTCAGAGTGGGCGTTCCTGCAGGCGGCCGTTGCCGTCAGCTCCACCAGCTCCAACAGCTTCCCTGCAACAACCTTCACAACACTCAACTGCATACCCCGGCATACGCTTGTGCTGCAGCCCTTCCACACGCCCAGCGGCCACCGACTGCTCGATATTGGCTCGAAAAACTCGTGCCGGAAAGTCGTACATGGCGGCAATCACACTTGCGGATTTAGCACTCTAGTTCCGTCTCCACGACCACGTTTGATCCGCGTCCACCTCCTCTGATAGGCGTGGACGGTGGCCCAGCGCTTCCAACATGGCCACAACAGCATCCGTGTACAACACCTCACGGACGACTCGACAGATCCTCCGGCGCCATCGCAAGGACAATCCGTCGCTCATCCTGCATCTGCACAACAACCACTTCCGCTTCGAACGTCAGAATGGCATGTTCCTCTTCGATTCGCCTGTCAAGGCATTTCTCAGCTTCATTCGCGACCAGAAGGTGCCCGCTGATCTCATCGATGTGCTCACGGAATCCGGCATCAAGTTCTTCGAGGGATGCTTGCTCGTCGACGTCCACGACCATCGCAGCCATGCGGCCGCTTCAGCCTCGCCTCTGGGCCCGCGTGAGCTGATGGGCATGAGCGCAGCAGACCTGTTCCGATCACGAGATACTCGTGATCCGATGTCCAGCTCCGCGCTCGGATTCGATGCCGAAGGCGGTCTCGCCTCGAGTCTGTTTTACCTGCAAGAGGGTGGCCGATACGGGGCGCGCAAGCTGCTTGGCGGCACGAGCTCAAGCGATCCGAGAGGCGGCGGAGCAGGCGGCGTCGAGATCTATCGTATCGTGCTGCATCCGACATCGGAAACGCTGTGGGCAGATATCAAGATGCTCGACGACATGGCGGGTAACATGTGGACCGACCAGGAGGCGCTCGAAGTCGAGGCCAAGATCCTCGCACTCACCGCACCGCCCCTCTGCCTCACTCCCGACCCGCAGGCTACGCGCATCGCCAACCTCATGCTCAGCGCCACCGCCTTGCCGTCTGCATACAGTCCGTCGCAGGATTCGCCGTTCCGCTCGTCCAAGAAGCGCGGCGCCAACTCGATCGAGATGGAGCGCGAGGAGATGGACCGCCAACGGCGCGAGAAGATCATGCGCCTCATGCAGCACGGACACAAGGGCGCACTGCACGCCGGTGCTGCATCGGGCATGATGCCTGGTGCCGGGCGATCCGGTTCCGCAGCTATGGATCCATCTGCCATGCTCAATGCCCAGGGCGCACCCGCTTCCGCAGCTGCAGCCACGGCGTTTGTGCCCACCTTCGGCCGCATGGGCTTCATCGAGCGGTGGAGAATGGGCCGCAACGCCGCGATGGGACCCATTCCAGGTGGTCCGGCACCAGGCGCGGCCCCCGGTGCTGCCAATGGTGCGCCCGGCGCCGCTGGCAAGAAGGACGCCAAGAACGACAAGGAGGATGCCGATGCCGGCAACGCCTCGACGGCCAAGAAGCCTCCGTCCAAAAAGAAGAAGAAGGCGCAGCGGGAGAAGGAGGAGGCCGAGGCAGCGGCGGCAGCAGAAGCCGCCAAGAAGAAGGCCGAGGAAGAAGCGGCGGCGGCAGCAGCGGCCAAGAAGCCCAAGAAGAAGCTCACCAAGAAGGAGCGCGAGGAGAAGGAGCGCAAAGAAAAGGAGGAAAAAGAAAAGGCGGAGCGCGAGGAAAAGGAACGCAAAGAAAAGGAGACCGCAGCTGCCAAGGGGTCCAAGCCCAAGAGCAAGAAGAAGCAGAAGGAAGAGGCCGCTGCCGCTGCAGCCGCTGCTGCTGCCGCCGCGGCGGCTACGCCTGCAACCAAGAGTCCCGCAAAGGGGGGCAAGGCGGCAGCAGCCGCCGCGGCTGCGAACGGGACCGATGCAGCGGCTCCATCGAGTCCAGGCAAAGACAAGAAGGGCTCACCGAAGAAGGCTGCTGCGAAGAAGCCGGCGGGATCAGCGGCTGCTGCCACACCTGCGCCCGCGAGTGCGACCAAGAAGAAGACGCCTGCCAAGGCGGACAAGAAGGGTGCGAATGCCAACAGTACGCCTGCTGCCTCGGCTGGTGGAGCCTACGGTGCTGCCGACGCTGGTGTCAACGGAGCAGCGGCGGCGGCAATGCAAGGGACGCCGATACTGGGCAGTGCGACGCCTTCTGTGCAATCGACGCCCACGCCCGCGCACCGCTCGATCCCGTCGCAGCCGCAACAAGGGCAGATGCAGGCGCAAACGACTCCGCAGATGCAGCAGCAGCAGCTCACGCAACAGCAGCTGCAGCAGGCCGCGCTCGCAGGCATGTTCCCCAACATGCAGGGGCAGCAGATGGGCTTCAACAACATGGGCTTTGGCCTGCCCATGATGAACGGTCAGATGAGCGGCTTTCCTGCCACGAGCAATGCGCAGAATACCGCCGCGGCGCTCGCGGCTATGCAGGGCATGGGCATGAACCAGTTCGGCAACGGCAACAATGGCATGCTCAACTTTGGTGCCGGCGGCAACATGGCGAATCTGGGACAGATGCAACAGATGATGGGGCTGATGGGTGGCGGGTTCAACGGCATGCCGTTTGCAGGGCAGCAGCAGGGCCAGCAGCAAGGTCAGCAACAGGGTCAGCAACAGGGCCAACAGGGCACGGGCGATATGCCTGTGGGAGTTGGACTGGCAGGTCTAGCGAATTGGGGAGCAGGAAAGTAGAGGCCTCCGGAAATGTGCCTAGAAATCACAATCCGTTACCCCAGCGGATGCATTGCGTTTGGATGGTGGTGGTGCAATCAGCGTGCGGTGGTACCGCCATCGATGGGCAGGATGCTTCCCGTACACCACGGAGCGTCTCGTGCGAAGAACCTGGGGCCCAATTTCTGCAGTCAGCACGATGATCCTCTTGTTGCACACGAGGCGTGTGGGAGGGGAGTCAGGACTTACAAGACGCCATTGGCTACGTCTCTGGCAGTTCCCTGGTGTGGCCAATAGGTGGGGCGCATTTTGGCGAGTTCGGGGCTGATATCAGCAACCATTGCGGTGCCTGCCAGGTAGCCGGGAGCGATGGCATTGACGTTGATGCGATGCGGTGCATAGTCGGTCGCCACCTGGCGCGTCAGGTTGACCACAGCACCCTTGGAAGCGCAGTACGCCGGCTCGGACGGCCCGCCGATCAGACCATGCACCGAGGCGATCTGAATGATCGTCCCGCGCGATCCACGTGCGCCGACATCACCCTCGCGTCGACCCACCGTGGCAATCGGCGATCCAGCCTGTTCGAAGTAGGATGGACGAAGTGGAACGCTGGGTGGTACATCGGAAAAGTCGTCTAGGTCCTCTTCAAGGTCGGCGGGAAAGGCAATCGGATCCTGCTTCATCATTTGGCGGATCTGAATCATGCACGCGGCCAAGATCAGCCAGCTGGTCCATGAGAGTGGGAAGGGGAGGGAAGGCGAAGACGTACAGCGTGCTTGGTGCCGAGCCAGACTCCCTTGATGTTGATCTCCATCATCTTGTCGAGCGTCTCGATGGGCTCGTTCTCAATCCCGCCGCTGGAAACAAGCAAAGATGCCGAGATCGTCAGTACTCTTGGGGGAGGACCTGTGTTGCCTGAAGTGCGGAGCTTGTGACTCACGAGAACTTTGTGATACTGTTTCCCACGCGATGAGCACGTCGAAAGGAGACAGCCTGTGATTCAGCGAATGGCTCCGGAGTCTGTGAGGTAGGAGAGAAGCGAGCTTACCCGGCATTGTTGACGAGGCTGAGTTGTACGCGATGGGAAGAAAGGTCAGCACAGTCCAGACGGGCTTGCGGGGGGACATGACTTACATGTCGAGTCTTCCGCCGCCGAAGCTGACGCTTTTGGCAATAGCGGCCTCGAATTCGGACTCGGAGGTGACGTTGAGCTGCTGAAATTCGGCCGTGCCACCGAGAGTTTGGATCACTGCAGATGCAAGCAGGTCAGTACCTTTCAAAACGAGCCAAGCAGCCCAGTCGTGTTCGGGGTTTTGAACTCACGCTCGTGCGTGGGGACGGTGCGGGACGATTTGGCCGTGTCCGTGGAGCCCAGCGGCTCGGGGCGCTGATCAACATCGGCGCAGCATTAGGACGTTAGAAGTGGCACCCTGCTTTGGAGAGGGAGGGTGGGAGCAACTTACGAGGTCGGTGCAGAGGACGTTGGCACCGGCGCGTGCGAGGTGGAGGGCGGTCTGTCTGCCGATGCCCGAGGAGGAGCCGGTGACGAGCGCGGTGCGCCCCACGAGGCTCAGGGACGGAGGAAGCGACTTGGCAAAGGCGGCGAACGACATGGCGGTGGTGTGCAAAGACCCGCTCCGGTCGCGACCAGAGCAGCTGGGGGTTCTTTATACCACAGCGATGCAGAGGGCTGCTGCCCCTGTGTGCGCGGTCAAGCCAGGAACCACGCGGGGTAAGAAGCCGAAAAGGTGGCCGGTCCAAATCGCCGTCAAGCGCTCGTGGACCGCGGACGTCATCTTTCGACGCCAGGAAGCCTGGGTGAAGCGTGTTGACCACGGCGCCAAGCCAGGAGCGAGCATGGACCACGTCTTGGATTTTGCTCTGAGCGCGATGCGGCATGTGCTCGGCTGCAGCTGCCCAGCTCGGCGCTCCAAGTCGCCGAAGCGTTCGGCAATCACTGTGACTGCAATCAAAGTGCGCCTAGCCGCTCGGTCCACCGTATATTGGAGCGAGCAAGGTGCTTCATACTCTACCTCAGGACCTCGCCAAATATCTGCGGCCATAGAACCTTGAAAGCACCGCATCCCGTCCGATCTGCGAAGTTAAGCAAGGTATCGCCTAGTCAGTACTGCGGTGGGGGACCA